ATAGTCACTTTGTGTCACTGGTGTAAAACAAAAATGTGTTTCATTTCAAGATGTTCTGTTACAGTGAGTGATTGTGTTAATAAAACACAGGATCATGTTGACATTTTTCTTTAAGAGTATTTTCACATTTAACAATATTCTTAAACTTAAAACATAATGGTTCAATTCAAGCATTTTCTAACTTACTATACTTTAACCAACCCTGACAACATGAGCATGAGAAGGAGTAAGAGGTGGTTTAAGTTTATATACAGACACAGCTGTGGCTGACCCCAAGATCTGTTGTGCTTTAACAGTAGAAACCCAAAAGGATATGTCCCCCCCTCTCTCTAACCTGCTGTGGGTGTCATTCTGGAGGAGTGGGTGCTGGAGAGCCAGGGGTCTTCTTCCTGCTTTTCATCGTGTTCATGTGGGGATGCAGCACCTGGTAACAAAACAACACACACAATGCAAGTCAGACACATCCTTAGAAGTAAATAAATAAAACCCAAGCTTTAGTAATTTTAGACAGGATGCATTTAAAAGTTATCTTCGCCCTGTCTTGCTTTGTTTCTCATTTACATTCCCCACACACTAACAGGTTTACAATGTTAATGATTGCACACTTTTAAACAATTGAGACAAAACAACTCTATGTCGTGTTGCAAAAAGCCTAAAGAAATAAGATTAACTGATGCAGTCCAAAATCTCTTAGTTAAATCCACTGCACATCAAATGCAGGGGTAAACGCCTGCAGGAAAGAAAAAGCTGACAATGCCGCACTGCCCTATGCACCCATCTGCTGTCAGCGAGAGACAGGGAAGTGGAAAGAAGTGACTGGGATGGTTGGTGAAGTCTATCAGGGTTGTTTGAGGTAGAAGCTTGAAATAGGGTTCTTAAAGAGAGGCGACTTTAGGGTGATGTTAGGCAGACACATTATTGGGCCACAGGGCTGCCGAGTGTCTTCGTCAGTCTTTGACAGGGAGGCTGTAAAAGCTCCTGTGATGGAGAGGGAAAACAGGCACCCTGGAATTAAATCAGTGTGCCGGCAGGATCCATCACTACTCATAAAGGAGACAGAGGAGACATGATGAGCGCTTTCAAGGTTGAGATCAGGGCGATGCCATGGAGATTGATATCCGAATAAACACCAAGCCTGACTGACACTCTTTTGTAACTGTATAGTGTTTCCTGTCAGAGTTACATACGTTTCTACTTCTCCAGTGAAAGTAGAGCCACATCATAAGCCATTACAGAAGGGGAACTCACACATATACAGCATGGTACAGAGGCATTAAATACTTTCATAGAAAAACAGAGGTGTATGCTAAAAATACATACCATTTCTGTGTTTCTCTGTTTGAAAAGTATGTGTAATTTCATGAACTGTATATGTCAGGCAAGTAAATTAACTTTAAAGAGGCCCTATTATGCTTTTGGGAGTTTTCTCGTTCCTGTAGTGTGTTATAAAGGTTGTTGTTAACGGTCTGCAAAGGCTGAAATCCCAAAGTTCCCTCCAGAGAAAATGAGCATAAAATGTCCTCTTTAATATTAGATTTGGTGACGATAGATACATATAGCTACACTGGTATAAAACGTGTGTAAGATAGAGTGAGAACGACTTGTTCTTCATTTGTTTTAAGTATCTTTTTGGCGATGCTTTGTACCATATTGTTAGTAGAAATCAGTTACTTTTTTTTCTGCATTTTCAGTGTCCATAAAATGTGTCTGAACCTCACCTGCTCTGCTGGTTTTGTGTGTTGAGCGAGCTTTTCTTGGTAACACGGTGGGTACATTGTTTCCCATTGGAGAAGACACAGAGACCCCCGAGCTGATGCACAAACACACACAGATATATATAAAGCTTCAAAATGAACTGTAAGTTTGACTTCATCTGCTCTTCAAAAAAAAATTCTGTACACATGAGTCACCTCTCTATTGCGTGACTACAGCGAGCCAGGTGTCCCCTGAATGCAGACTGTACCATCGTCAAGGCAACCACATCCAGCTCTCCTTCTACGGAGGATGCAGCGTCACTGCGGTTTGTTGCCTGAACAGAGGAGATGAGGAAGAGATGGAGCAAAAAGGAAAAAGAAAAAAAGGATATGGGAGGGGCCGGGGATGTTGAATTCAGAAGACAAAGACAGAAAAAAAGGCATGTTATGTTTGTTATTGTTCAATTGGATGCTGAGTTAGTTACTACCAGGTTACATACTATTCTTTCTAGTGTCCAATTATATATACACAATGCGGATATACAAAAATATACACAATAAACCACACCGACCCAGCACCCCTTAGACCCTAACACACACTGTGACATAACCCTCTTAATTTAGGAAGACAATCACCTCAACCAGGATAATAGCTCTTAACAATATACAGAGACTAAAACAAGAAATATAACGGAAAAAAATACTTATTTTCACCCTAAGGTTAGTAACGAGACAGAGGGAGAGACATCTAGTGGCCATTTGACTAAACTGCAGCTTAGATTATTTCAACACAAATCCGTCTATATTGATGACTAGTGGTATTTCTCCAGGATGAGACAAGGGCACACACGAAACACCATATATATATATATTGTTGTTGGTGTTTTAACAT